AGGGCCCCAAATTTTCAATTTTGGTATTTGAGTTGCAATAAATTTTAGGCTCAGGTCAAACCTATGTTTTAAATATGATATCATAAGTGCAGTTCCAGCATATTTCCGTGTTTTTAAGCAAACCCTTAATCTGGTTAACGAATCACATACCAATGAAGATTCTTTGTTTTCTTGTATATGATGTACTTCAAAGATGTAATAACAGAGTGCCACTCCATGAGCAATCACAAAATGAGTTGAAAATTCGTATTTCCTTTTGTCAGGACACCTACGAATACAAAATGGTATGTTCATGCTGTTGAAACTCACGAAATTATTGAGAAATTTCAAAATAAAATCTTACCCTGAACACCCTCTGTATCTCCTAAACCAGCAACATTCTTATGAGGCATGTAAGGCTAAATCTTCATATTTTGGTGTTTACTAACTGTACCTCTGAGTTTTCCCATTCTTAATAAATCACCCTGCAGACGGGGGTTGTTTAAAGTGAGACACGCTGTATAGAACCTAGGTATTCGACTAAAAATATCAGAACTTCAAAATATGTGTGAGCAAAGGACCCTGTAATGTAAAGGGGCCTGGTTCGCAGCTTTTACATCATTAAAAAAATATGCCTGGATAGCGTTCCCGCGGATCCAATTATGGTCATTAAATTATTGAGAGGTTTTCTGAATTTTGCTGCTCAAATACGTGCGTATCGTTGTAAAATTTCGTATTTCATTCAATCAGAGAGCAAATATGACATTTGTTAGATTCCCAAATAATAGAACTGAATAGAATTCAACCCAATAAATATTTACTTGCTAAATCTCATAACTAAGAGTTCTAGGATGAACAGAGTCGCCCCAATTGTCAGCAGGAGCGAGATAGTACTGTTTCGACCCACCAGGTCTCAATCAGCCGCCCTCGGTCTGCTGACAACTGGGACAACTCTACGCTTCGGGTATATCACCCATTTCGAAGACGCGGGTATAACATGAAGTTGAAGTCATGTTGTATGTTGTAGCCATCTTGTGGCAATGCTCTAAGGTAGGATACAGATATCGGGACACACACTTGCACACACTGTATGGCGCTGCCATCTATAGTCACACGTACAGACCCCTACGTCTATACGCTACAGAGTGGTACTACAAGTAAATCACTCTGCTGACATAACTAAGAGATCTAGGATGAACAGAGTTGCCCCAATCACAGTTTAAGGAATACCCATTCCTTAAACTGTGCCCCAATTTTCAGCAGGAGCGGAACAGTACTGTTTCGACCCACCAGGTCTCATCAGCCGCTCTCGGTCTGCTGACAAAAAACTATTTATACACCAAGGTAATAAAGAATGTCATTATTACCCAGGGGCCAAGATCATATCCTGGGGCTTCAGCCGAGGGGTATGAGATCCCGTGGTAATAATAGGTATTGTTTACTACAAATTATGTATTATTTCACCACTAGCTCTTAAACAATCCATTATTTACTCCTTTTCGAGGCGTAAAGTGTGTTTTTACTACCAAGGTAGTTTTCGTAATTTTATGAACCACTATATAGCAATGAATGCACTGTTCTGATCAGAGATTCGCAGGAATGGCACTGGAATCTAGTAGGTATTTATCAATAACGATTTGTCATATGCTGTCCATATGGTCATGCATGGCTTAGAATAGGAAACAAGTGCTTTCATAGTGACAATATATAGGTCCACACTTCGGTTTCACATAACTAAAATGATTGAAATATGTTGCTAGTGGTGAAAAAAATGTAATATATAAACCTTGGTCGCCATTTTGTCGCTCGCTGTTTTATAACAGAGCCCTTCTATATCTCAGCTATTAAAATAATTGGACAAATTCTTGCCAAATTTCAAACTGGTATGAATCTCTGGGTATGATGATGATATGATTCAGTTTTTTCACAAACATATCCTTTTGGACAGTAGTATACCGTGCGATTTTTTTTTATTAAAAATGAGGTCGATTTTTCAAGTAATTAAATTGGGCATAAACTAACCTCATAAATCATGATATTGTTCTTCATGGTTTTGAACCCCCACATATTTGAATTTCATGTAATTTTCTTTCAAGTATCGAAATTACTTGTGTAAAAAAACAAGTTCAAACTATTCGATTTAATCCATCAATTAATATATGTAGAATTCTGCAATAAATCATATTGGATGAAAAAAGTGAATACAAAATATTTATAATATAATATAAAATATATAAAATAAAGAATCAAATTTTAAAAACTAAATAACAAACTTCTATTCTCCTGACTAGCGCATCTCTGGATGATATCATCAACATTCAGACATTTAACCTTTCTTGAACCATTTTGGATCTTATCCAATCTCTCAGCCTTCTGAGGGCTGAAAAACTCATTTCGGAAGATGCAACACTTGCAGGCAGACAACATAATAGTTCCAGAAGAATGTCTATGTTAGGAAACACATTTTCTTAGATACATACATTTCAGAAACGATCTTCTGAAAGGAGTACATTTCATCATTCTCCTCAAAAATGGTCGGAAACTGTTCAAGTATATTTGTCATACCTTGATATATTTCCTCATCTGTTTTGTTTTCTGTTATTGATGGTACACATAGATAAAGGATCTATAATGGGAAAAAAACGCAGTTTTTCGTCCTGATAAAAAAATTTATTAGTAAAATGTTTTCAATTATTTACAAAACTAAATAATTATTCATCATTCAGTGACCCCAAAACAAAAAAAAATAAGAATCACTTCAAATTAGTGCTTCACGTTACCTCCCTAACAGCCTTCACAAAAATAATGTCGACTATCATTAAAACTTTTAGCTGAAACTCTACAGGATTATTTGATTTTCTAAATGGAATTTGCTATTACACAAGTGGGTTTTAATGTCTTTCAACTCACTAATTGATATCAGAACCCAGCATACTATGTAGTTTTGATAGGTGTTGGAAAATGGTATAAATGAAAGATTTTATATTATAGGTAATGTTTCTAGTTCCCCTTGTATTAGGTATATCATCAACAATTATAATTCTAATAATTATCTTGAACAGAGTTCCAAATCATCCATGATGCTTTGTAATTACAATTATCATTACAAATATCAGTCTTTGTCAACCAAAAAGTGGAAAAACTAGTTGAGAGATTTTAGACTTCATTCAAAATAAATTTCAAATTTTACCTTATACCAGATAAAAACGAGAAAATCACTCCATTGTTTCAACAATACAGCTATCACATTTTTATTGTCACCAAATCGTCTACAGGGTGATCAAAATGATATCTTATTGAATATACAGTGCCCGTCTAAAGTCCGTTCCCCCCTGCTAATTTTTGAACCACCTGGTATATCCCAACAAAATTTAGAGGGCTCAAATGGGACATAAAAACCTACTTTTTCATGAAAAAAATGAAGCAAAAAATTTCAAAATGGTGGCTGAGCGCCATCTTCAATATTTTATTAAACAGAACACCCAGTATATTATTCCATTTTCGAAAATTGCTCATAATTCTGTGTTTTTGGTTGGGTTTGGAATGAACAAAATTTCACCTTTCAAACGTTATTAATATTTCGAAAACAATTGAATTTAGGAGTGTATTAGAAAAAACTGTTGAGAATTATTAGCAAATTTCGAAAATGGAACAATATACGGGGTGGGGTGTTCTATTTAAAAAAGTATGGAAGATGGCGCTCAGCCGCCATTTTAAAACTTTCAGCTTTGATTTTTTCATGAAAAAGTTGGTTTTCATCTCCTATTGAAGCCCTCCAAATTTAGTTGCGATACATACCAGGTGGTTCAAAAATTAGGGGGGGAACGGACTAAGACGGGCACTGTATTGTCTCATAATATATGGTGATTCTAAATTCGATGTAAAAATTTTAATGACGTATTATTAGGACCAAAATGAGACTTTTTGTTCTTATAAACAATTTTTTTTGTTAATAAAATCATGTTAACCCAGTTTTGGTAGAGTTGGAGGAGGGTCCACCCTCGTAGGAGGTGCATTTCAGGACATAGTTTATATGAAGAGAAAGTCTATACAGGGTGTCCCTCCGGGAACTGCATCGATCAATATATAGAAAACCATAGGTGGGCCGAATTTGAAAATTTGGGAGTTCACTATTGTTGATAAGTGCTATCCGGCTAAAATATTTTGAAGATTGTGGCACTTCCGGTTGTACCGGAAGTGGACCCCAACTTCGTTATTTTAAATGGGACACCCTGTATATTATCAAGGTTTTAGATTTTACGCATGATTCTGAACATGTTTCATGTATAATGTCCTATACCCAAGTCTAACCGTTTTCGAAATATTTCAAATTTCAAGTTGAAAATTGCCTTTGCAGTCCGAAAAATATTTTTTTTCATTTCTGGACAGGATCATTTATTTAGTACTTTTCTAGTGGCGTAGAAGTTGTGGAGAAAAACACGCACTACCCATTCAAAATCTTCACCAATTATGACACACAAAACATAGCTTATTATCAGTATTGAATCTCGAAAATTATGCATTTTAGAGGGTTAGTTTACATAAAATCACACATCCTGAGGTCCTGTGCATATATTATGAAACACCCTGTATATGAATGCTCATGTCCTTTCAACAATATTCAAAAACTGTGGTTCTAGATGAAGTCAAGTTTTTCCAAATGTTGGTAATAATTTTTCAACAATTAATGAAGGTGTTCTCTGCAGTTGAAATCTCAGATCAACAAAAAATAATCATGTCCATGTAGTGAAAACCCATTCAAATTTAAAAGTATTAATATTTTCAACCTTTGTAAATGCAGTAACAATACAACAATACTGGTGTTTGTAGAGTCAAATGTCATCAGAAATAAAAAAAAGTGTTTGGTAAAAACATTCCAACTTATATAAATAATACATGACTTCTGACAGTATTTGAGCTAATCATAGTTTATAAAAGCTGAAATTGGGAATCAATCTTGTTGATACCTGGTATATCCTCATCTGATCTACTTATATTATTTAAAATTACAAAGACATTGTTTATTCAGCTGTGGTTTTGTTCTCTTCCAAGTTTGGAGGGTGCCATTTTAGTCGTTCTTCATAAAATTTGATGACCACTTGGGGGCATTTTAAGTTAGCCTGTTTGGCAGGGACAAGATCTGCCTCATCAGTGCCTGTCCATTTAATAAGGAACATTAATTGACCTAAAAACATGATAAAAATGTATAATTTTGATTGTAGAGTTAGATTAAAATATGTGATAAATGTAATTCACATGGTTCAGAGATTATTAAGTACTTCAAAGTTTATTACAACTTATATTAAATTTCATCAACAACTGAAAACTTTACATATAGTCCAATAAATGAAGGAGGAAAAAAAGGCAAAGTTAACGTTAATTACGGTTGGAAGTAGCTTTTGGTACCTCATTAAACATGAGACAAAGTTTGACTGGAAAACGCGTGCGATGGCGGAGAAAATGGCCCCAAAAGACCAGAAAAATAGGTTCTCAGCCAATATCTCCTAAAATATGGCAGTTAGAGATTTTCGGTTCCGATAAAAATTGAAGTTCAGTTAATTCTCGACAAAAATGGTCCTTATCATTTTTCTCGAAAATTTGCCCGGTTTCGAGAAAAACGGCACGAAGCGCACCTCGAATAATGAGCTTCTGTGTTGTATGCCGGAGAGCACAGTACGTGTATTTACACATCGGCGGGGGGACAAATTATTCAATAACTTTGTTAAAAATGCATATTTTCTCATGATTCAAAGTTCATATGAAAGAGGAATTCTGCTGCTATCATACCCTGCGTGGCCGCATGGTTTGTAGTAGAGTCACTGAATGTTATTAGTTTGATAAGAGTTCGGACACAGAAATGACAACGGTTAGGGTTTTTGAATGTTTAGATTTATTAAGTTACACACCTTGCATTGTGACAAGAGTACCATAGTCGTCCCGCGCTTTTTCATTCAAAACTGTTTGAATTTGACAATACATTTTATAAACGTCAGAATTAAAATAAAATTTCATAATTATACATTCGAGATGAAATCAGCTATGGAAATCACTTGCTGTGTAATAAATTGTACCAATTCTGAAAAAAATTGATATCATTTATTCAATTTTCCGAAACAAATATCAACCATTCGCTTATGGAAGGAAGATATGAAATGGCCTGGGTGCAAAATCAATTTGAAGACGAGCGAAATTTGTGAGGTACTCATTGAAATTCACTTCCTATAACAGCATCTGATTAGAATGAAACTATATTTTAGGCCCATTTTCAAACAGATGATTTCAAAATCTGTTTGAGAGAATCTGCTGTTTCATCAATTTACAAAGCAGACGATTTCAAGAACAGAATTCCATTATTATCATCACACAAAATACAAAACAAAATAATCATGGAGAAAGAGGAAATTATCGCAAAATTACATAGTGAAATTGAGAATTTGAAAACGAAACTAAGAAAAGCAAGTAAACTACAAAGTGATATATTATTGAATGGCGTTTTTGGTGTCGACCAAATTTAAAATTCAACAGTGAAAAGTGAATAGTTATTTATGAATCAAGGGAATTATGTATGAGTGCCATAATAATGCTAGAGGTTATCGTTTTGGAGATATTTTTTATATCGATCCATGTTACTCAGCTCCTAGGCGCTAAGTGAAGTTGCTGAGAACTTTACAAAACCAAGTATTTGGTAGGTCTAGTCAAAATAAATTACTTTTTTCCTATCAAATGTTTATCGAAAAATGATTTGTTCTCTGTATTTCAACACCCTGTATCCGGACACAAGCTTATATAGACTTTATTTCTTATAATTGTCTCAGAAATACTTCACTTGAGAGTACTTTATTTTATATACTTATCACTGGAGTACAGTTTCACATACAATAAGGAATTATAGCTATAAGTTCATCCATATGTGTATATTTTCTAATATTAAAATGTTACATGCATTCTTTTCATTTATATAACAGTTGTTCTGCTAGAAGTGTATCACTATGAATTGAAGTGGGTGTTTGTACCCTATAACCATTGTCCATCTACGGCTATGATTGATTTGACAGAAGATATAACCTCTAAAATCGTATCTGACAATCAGGCGCTACTAGGGAAATTGAAAAGACAAAGAGCAGAATATATGTCTTATTCTTTTATTCACCTAAACCATTGTATTATAGAAAATAGAAAAGGACAAAAGTTCAGCTGTGTCCGAACTCTTATCAAACTAATACCATTCAGTGACTCTAGTTTGTAGCAGACGACCCGAGCGCCACGTAGAGCACACACGCGGCGAACGACGGAGGAACAAAAGTAATAAATTATAGCGTGTATATTTAGATATACTGTTTTTTTTTCCGGGATATCAAAGGTATGACTTATATACATCGATGGAAAGGTGGGAATTCTCCCGTTACACTAGTTAAGGTGTTAAAATGTTAGAAATAAAGAGCACGGAGAAAAAAACCACCGAAAAAAAAAGTGCGTTTTTTCCTTGACCCCGCTTTTTCTAATTTTATTGAAAAATGGACGACTTCGTCTAAAAAAGTAATTGCACAATCGAAAAGTAGACCTTCTTAGCTTTCAAATGATGTATCATAGAAATCAATCGGATCATGTATAAATTTTTAATTGATGGTTGTTCACAAAATTTCCCCGCGCTCCAAAAACATCAAAAAATTGGGATTCAATAAATAAAGATTACATGAAAATTTAAAAAAATTAGGGTATACAAATTTCAGGGATGACAAAGGACCTTACGAGGGCCCATAATCAAGAGAATTTTGAGTAAATTAGTGCAATACAAAAAAAATAGGAACAAATTCCTGGCGAGGTCAAAATTGACCGGGAGCAGAAAGTTTGACCCATGTTCCGATATGGCCAAAAGAGTCAAGCGTGACTCAATTCACAGGGTATGATAGCAGCAGAATTCCTCTTTCACATGAACTTTGAATCATGAGAAAATATGCATTTTTAACAAAGTTATTGAATAATTTGTCCCCCCGCCGATGTGTAAATACAGGGACTGTGCTCTTCGGCATACAACACAGAAGCTCATTATTCGAGGTGCGCTTCGTGCCGTTTTTCTCGAAACCGCGCAAATTTTCGAGAAAAATGATAAGGACCATTTTTGTAGAAAATTAACTGAACTTCAATTTTTATCTGAACCGAAAATCTCTAACTGCCATATTTTAGGAGATATTGGCTGAAAACCTATTTTTCTGGTCTTTTGGGGCCATTTTCTCCGCCATCGCACGCGTTTTCCAGTCAAACTTTGTCTCATGTTTAATGAGGTACCAAAAGCTACTTCCAACCGGAAGATGAAAATAGTGCGTAATTAATGTTAACTTTTTCCCTTTATTTATTGGACTAATAGAATGGAATATGTATTCATTCATCTCATAGACCATTTTACATCTGTATATGAAAAGTCAGCATGGCATATTGATTCAAAATCATGAAAATAAAACTCAATACATACAATACTTGTCACTGATGCCATAATCCAATTCTCTGTACTTTTTATTTTTTTTATTATTCATTTATGATTCAGTGCTTCTATAGGAGAATAAAAACCCATCATAAATGAGGACTTGAAAAAAATTGAGAAATGGCTTTATTCCAATCTTCTTTCTCTTAATTCTAATAAGACTCAATATATAATTTTTCGTCAAAGAAATAAACAAAATATTGATCTGAATATTAGAATAAAAAATGAACATTTGAAACAAACTGCCCATACCAAATACCTTGGTATTTGGATTGATGAGAAATTAACATGGGGAAAGCATATTGACATCCTCATAGGAAAAGTATCTCCCATTATTGGTGCTTTGAGAAGAGGTCCTAAACTTAGTACATATACATCAAATATTTTTCTATATTCACATATACTCAGTAGAATTAACTATCTCATAAATATTTGGGGATCTTGTTTCAAAATTATTTTCAACAAAATTTCTATTCTATATAAAAAGGCATTGAAAGTATTGTATCCTCTTCCATATGATACTCCAACAAATCAACTGTATAAGGAAACTAACACATTTTCTTTGGAAGAGCACTTTTTAATCAATACTCTCAAAATTTCCTATTATATCATCAACAAAAAGCTTGAATCAAATTTTATATTAATTAGGAATTTCCAAATTCATGGTCATCACACTAGATAATATCACTTGTTTCATCTTGAAGCTGCAAATTCTAAACTTGGGCAATAAAAGTTTACACATGAGGTGATTTTGAAATTCAATAAATTACCAGATGATATCAAAAACAGCCCAAATATTATGCAATTCAAAAATAAAGTGAAGAAATATATTTATATACAAAGGAATGATCAAAGCTGAAAGACTATGAATTTCCTTTTTTTTTCACTGTTTTTATTTTTCCCCTTCTTGTTCACTATTTGTTATTTCAATTATACAACAATGGATAATACTTAACTTCATGAATGATCTTATACCAGGAATTACTGTCTGATCATTCATGTCATTCCTACTAGAAAATTAATTATACTTTATATATTATTTGTATGAAATGTATCAATGAAGAAGAGAATGTAATGCAATAACTGAAATAAATAAATAAAAATAAAAAAATCTAGAACTGACAATGATAAGCACAGATTCAAATCAGTACAAATTATTTCATAGTTAGAACATAGAATAGGTACTGTTTAATATATTGGAATCATGTTCATTGGAAACATTCAAGTCTATTCATGGAAGTGATAAAAAAGCTGAGGAAATTCCTTTGTATTTGTTTTCTTAGGAAGGAAAATAATGTTCTTATGTGCACTATTTTTTCATTTTAGTTATTACTTCAGTTTAATTTAAGCTGATGTGACACAAATCAGGAGTCATAATATGAAATATGATATCTAAATGCCTACTAGTGAATTATTCAATACTATTTATTCAGCAAAATTGTGTAATTGTATTCATGAGATTATTCTAAAGAATTTAAATGGGTATTATGGCTTTAATGACCAAGAACAACTAACATTTTTATTATTACTCTCAAAAGTAATTTTAGTTCCTGGAATCTATTTATCAAAATGTAATCACCCATGAGGGGAAAAAATATATTCTAGTTTTTCAAGTTATTTTCTCATTGATCATCAGTTTTAGCTTTAGTTTTTTCTTTGAATATTATGTTTCATTGGGTTTGGTTTTCATTGGATATTTCACTTACCAGGACTATCAGTTGCTCCAATTATCTTCTCAGGCTCCAGACCCCTGTCAAAACCCAAAGACTTCTTCTCATCATTTTTCCTCTTAGGCCCCTTTACTTCAGACTGAATACTGTTAGATTTCCTTTTACGTTCATTCTCTTTTTCTTTTCTGGTCTGCTCTTTTTCAAATGCTTCTATTAGACCCGGGCAATCTAGGTGTCTTTCTGGCTCCCATGAGTTGTCTTCCTCTGAGAATCCTACCCACTTCAGGAAGTACTCCTTCACACCCTTGTCATTGATTCTACTACTGATGATCCTCTCAACTACATAAACTTCTGCAGCCGGTTCTGCATCTGTTGTTTGAGTGGGACTGCTTCTTTTACTCATCTCAGATAATTATTATCTATCCACTGAAAAAATAATTGTTAAAAAAAATTATAGGTTAGGTTAGTCTGGGAAACTTCACAGCCGAGCCGTGTACAACAATAGATTTCACCTTCTGTAAATTGGACCAGAATAATTCAATCAATTCGAACAAGATCTAGTAGATTCGCAATGGATTTTCGAATTCTTCTATAAACGAACATTCAGAATGATCAAAGGACGCCAAATTTTTAAAGCTTTTGCTTTTTTGTCACTTCGCACTTCGGCAATAATTGTGTTAACTATTAATTCATATTCACCGTACGCACTTCAAGGCTATCCGTAAAGACCAATCAAAACGTGCAGAAGCTGCGCTTGCGTGGTGACGCTCCAGCTGTATGATTATTTCATATTTCATATTTCTTTCAGCAAACACCCCAATGACCCCAAACACAAACACGTTTCACCATCTTAGCTTCGCCTCTACTGATATGCTGATGAAAAACCGCTACCCAATTGAAAGACATCAGTGATTCGAATTTACCGCCATAGCCTGAATAGTTCTGATTGGTCTCTACAGTGATCAGAACGTGCATACGGTGAATAGAAATTCTTGCAACGAGTGTCAGACCTGTCTACCTTCCTTGTCTTTTATGATCTGTGATCTCGGCGGTAACACATTTCTATGGTAACACTAGAGTGACTATATAAATAGAGTGCCGTCAATAGTGGTTCACTTTTTGATTGGTCAGGCCATTAAGATGGAGGTGCATCCGCATGTTTTATTTTCTCCAGCATTCTCTCATGATTCTATGCATTCTGTGTCACTTTTTCACTGTTTCTTGCTGTTTGTCTGTCTGTTTACCATTTCAGGAAAAACTGTGATTACTTTATAAACAGAAATAGAATAAAAAAAACATAAATTTGAAAATTTTGAGAAGACCGAAGAACTCTTCATCGTAAGTATTTTTGTATTATGTAATAATCCTAATGATTCTTCAGATATTACAATATAGAGTCATGAACATGAAAAAAATGAAATATAAAAAAAATATCTGTAATCTGAAAATGTGAATTCTTACAGAAAATAACTACTTTTGTACTGATCTGTAGCATTGAAGTTGAAAGGGTTTTGCAAAATTTAAGAAATATATACCTGCCTACACTCAATACAAAAATCCTTCTTTTCATTTGTAAAGTCAAATGGTAACAGCACAGGAGATGAAAGTGATTACTGAGTGATGGACATATTTGTATTGAGATGGAAAGTATTGTGCAATGTCTGGAATGTTTTCCAGTTTTCTACTCACAACCTATATAGAATACTTATTATGAAGTAACCTAGGTGCCATTGATTTCTCAGTATATCTACATGAAAAATAGAATCCCATATACCTTATATTATTGTACTATCATTATCTGATAGGGTAGAATCAATTCAATTTCTTTAATCAATTAGATAAGATAGAAAACAACTGGAAAACAGTTTTGATAATTATGATTTTGTATTGATTTAGAAAAAATAGTTATTTATTATACAAGGGAAAAAAGTAGTAGATTTTAGCTCCAGGTTGTGTTGTCTCCCGACGCGTAGCGGAGGGAGACAACAAACCGTGAGCTAAAATCTAATATTTTTCCCGTGTATAATACACTATTTTTTTCTGTGACAGAAGAAAGGACGAATCAATATTGAGAAGATATTACATTATTTTGATATCTGAAAATTATCGACGTGAAATTTTAAGTTTTTAACAGTAGGGACACCGCGTTGTAGGCATCTTTATCATTCATTTGAAGTAATCAAATATCTGATGTCACTTCTGTCAGTCTAATTTTGTGATTTTATTTCAAGAAATCGCGATTGCGAATTCAGTGGTTATTTAGCAATACACGTAACCGCGAAGTCGAATGGAAGATAAAAGGACTTGCAGTTCTTTCTCGGAGACGGTATTATTGACTCATTTTTCGGAACTATAGCACAACAAAAGCCATCAACAGTGTATATATATATGTGATATATATCCGGGAAAGAAGTACTCACTTTTTTCCCACGGGAAAAAAGTAATTTATGAAAAGTGACATTTTATAACCTGCCAACAGGGATGAAATGCCAAACTTTTTTCCCGTCACAGAAAAAACATTTTTATTTCCTCCCAGATGCCTGATTCTTGTATTGCTTGTGGCAATAAAAGAACAAAAGGAGGACTTATTTTTTTCCAATTTCCCAAGGATCCCATAAGAAGGACAGAATGGGAACAGAAAATGGGCAGGGGATGGAAATCCTCAAAGTACTCCTTTTTGTGTGAGGTGAGAAATAATATATTCAGAAATTTTTAATTTGATTTAATCTGATTCAATGAAAAGAAAAAATGGACTTTCTTGTGGAAAATTCAAAGAACATAAATTTGAAAATAATCAAACAGTACTGGAATTGTAATGTGAATCATTTAAGAAAGCCAACAATTATACCTATAATCTTGAAAAAAAAAACCCCAGACAATCTCAATTGCAATAGGAGACAATGAATTGATTCATATGTATGTTTCAAGTTGAATGTACAATTTATTTCTAGTTTGTCATTAGTAGTATCATTTGTCAGGAAAGTAAGATATTTGAATAGATTTTTCAAATTATAAAGTGATTTCAAAAGTTATGAGAAAACACATTTTAATCACATCCATAAAATGTCATCACATAATATACATTATAATAATCTGAATTAGTTGATTGCTCGTCCAGTTCCCTATTTCTTATTCTACTTCCCTTAATTTTTTTACTTCTGTGTACTCCAGTGCTTCCTCCATACTTCCTTCATACTTCCTCTACTCCTGTTACCAAATAACTAGCCAAATAATTGAAATGTGCCATTGTAACATTTGCAAAATGAATAATCATTAGTGGTAAATTGACCCTACTCTCTTGATGGAATTTCATAAGAATAGAAAGTACTTCACATATGTTTAAATTCCTACAAAAATAAATATCTTCCCTTGAGTACCTACTCAAATACAAAATTGTTTTTCACAAACACAGTACCTACTGGTAGGTACTATTAAATTGTGATCACCTGAAGAATCTGTTGTGTTAATGAATTATGTTGTATGTCAAAATTTTATTTGAAATCTAACCATTTGTGAAGAATTGTTTCAATTTATTTCGAAATACTGACTCAAATGGAAAATTTCTAGGTAAACCCACAAATATAGTCTTTTACATATTTAATTTATAGATTTTACTATTCTTACATTGATACGGAAAATTACTTGGCCACTGAAATTTTAGAACAAACTAAATTTGGTACATTTCAGGATGAACTATGTAGACTTTTAAATTTATTTCTCTTAGACATGATTTTCCATTTAAGTGACTTGAAATATTCAGAATTCCAGGTGGTGTATAAGCTTTAGTCCTGACTGAAATATCAGATGTATGTGTGATTTTACATAGAGGATTTTACCTATAACTCCCATGTACTTTAATGAGAATTTATATTTGCTTAGAATTGTATTGACATGTTATAAGTAGGTATCAATTAACAACAGAAAGAAATATTCAGTATTGTGACATTGATGCCACAATGGGCATTTTGCATAATATGTAACCTTCCTGGTGCCTCCCAAAATTTCCTACATGCCCAGTACTTCCTACAGCTGCACAACAAACTTCCCTAGACCTTCACCCCTCGATGAAATGATAAAAAAATATTTCTAAATCAAATTATCATCATATAGCTTCATGGTCCAACAAAAGAGAGAAGTGAATTCAAATAATTTCAAGAGGGGTGGTGCACCAAGGGTGAAACGATATGAGGCCAACCAAGATGTTATGAGGTCATCCTCGGCAATATAAGAGCAAGCTGAAGCATTCTGAGGACAAATCAGGGCAACATGAAGGAACTACCAAGATGATCATTGAGTATTGGGAGATCGCACAGTATTTATTTGAAAGCCCTAGGTGTGATTCTTGGCGAGAATTTTTGTCTTTTGCAGAAGGATTATAGTTCACTATGATGCCAAAATCCTAGAATATGTTTCATCATCAAATTACTTAGATAGGTACTCTGTTTTCAAATTATTGTATATGTATCATTAAGCAAGTACCAATGAATTATTTTTCTGAAAGAATGTCAATGAATTACTAAAGTTATAATTAAAAAGTTCTAGTCATAATTACTTTGATGAAGTTAATTGATAAATATACTGAGTGTCAAAGTATTCTTCAGGCAGGACATGGTTTCTAGAGTGCCTTAGGAATTTCAAACCTCTACCCAACTAGGCAATGTCCATCAGATTGGTTGAAGCGAATCCAACACACTCCAGATGCACAGATAAAAATGCTTTTGAAAAATCGAATGTACCAATTTTTTTCTGAATACCATATATGATCCAACTTGCCCATAGAATCCAGAATAAGTTAAAATATCCATGGTATACCTTTAAAAATTCCCACTTTATTTTCTGGTGAATTCAACACCTTTGACAACCGTGGCTTGTCTAATGAACTCGTTGACACTTGGTATGGCTCAAAATATAATTAGAGAACAATCTCTGAATGTAAAATTGTTCAAGAGTTTCCTACAATATCAATTTTTCAATGTTTAATCCAATAATTGTTGTGATCCTAATTGTGTTGTTCATTTTTAAATATCTTTAGAATGTTTATTATTCACTGGTTCATGATATATTTTTGTGTACTGACTATATTATCTGGTAATTTCATTCTGAATAAATCTATTCTATCCACCTTTCTTCACTCTATTATCTTTTCCCTATAATGTTATGACTATAAATATAAAGGTATATTATAGTGAATATTCATGGAAAACAGTCAAAGGTAACAGTAAAAACTAAAAAAAAAAAAACCGAGTTTGATACTTTAATATTTACTGAAGGCTATATCTACAGTTCTGAATTTTTTTAATTACCCATATTAAAAGCAAAAAATCACACAGGACATACATTTTTTTTCCTTTAAAATCCATGACACCTTTTTAGTGAATACAAGAATCAGGGTGTGTTATTCTA